TAAACGGGTTCAAAAGGAGACGGGAAGGCCGCCGGTCGAAGTCTCCAGTGAATTATGAGTGCAAATTCCAAAATTCCAATTTCGGGAGATACGCGAAATTGTAGATTACTCGGAGCCATGTAGGTTCACAATTTAACCGTCGAGTCCGAGTGCTTGTTCTCATCGGTGGAGGGATTCAAGGCGTTGGTGACGCGGTGTCACCGCGGCGGTGACACCATGTGGCCCCCCTCGCCAGCATTATTCCATCTACCCCTAGGTCACCGGGAGGGCCCCTCGAATGCCCTCGACAAACATCAATGGGAATGGCATCGTCGGTTGCATGTGTTAGCGAATATTTTCGTGCAGGTGTAAACTCTTCTGTTTCAGCTTTGGCTATTTGCTCGTACTCTGGTGCCCTCGGCTGCATTGAAGAGATCCACTTCTCGGGAATGTTCTATTCGGATTCTTCAAAGGGGAGTGCTGCATGTATCACGTAAGTTTGGTGGTCTTCGGGGATTGAACCCGAGTTGTTAGTGGTGGAGCATTACCCTCTACCGTTAGAGCATTCTTCTCTGTAGCGTTGGACCGTTGAAAGCCGCCGACAACTCCTGTGCAGCACTTCACTAATTCCCATCACCATTCCCTATTTCGTTCAGGTGTTCGAAGCGGACCCTCTCGGCACTGGCGAGTGAGGTAGCATCAGCAACTCTCCCGTTTCCATGGCGACCAGAAGTCACACCAGCATTAGTGAAACAGGGTAGGTCTATGTGGGCAATCTGCACTACAACGTGGAGGAAACCTTCATGGGGAGGTATGGTGGGACCACGTATAGAACTCGAGAGATTCTATGGTTGGGTCACCGCGTTGACGCTCCCTCAGAGACAACACGTTCGCCGAGAGGCTTATGTAACATTGGTATTCTCTTGTTCATATTTGCACGAATGTTCCTCTCATTGTGGTCAGCTTTCATATTCCGACATAGCTGGAGCCGATTTTGTCTTGTTTGCCTGTCATCATTGAGTTGCCGGCGGGTGGATTTGAACCTGGGTCTTCTCCTTCACCAGTGTTACTGTATGACGCCATCATCTCGGCCAACAAGTTCACCTTCTCAACTGCAGCGTCATTCGGTATCCTCGTCTAGTGGGAGAAGCGCCGATAATCCAGCCTCAAGTCCGCCTGGATTTCCTGGCGAGGCCGACGGGCCTAGTCTCATATTCCCACCTTATCTGGCTCTCGGTGAGCTGCCCCTGCCTCCCTCTGTTTGATCATCAGCATCATCGTTTCACAGGTATCGGGCGCCCGGTGTCTTTAAGTAATTTAGCAATGTATTTTGAGTCTTTCGGCGAGGCGGATTTTTTGGACTGCACACGTATGTTGACGGAATCGACCGATTCATATGCTATAAGATTAAGGTAACGACGACACTCTGTCACTTCAAGGGCCTTCCTGTGAGCAGCGATGGGCCTCACGTCGATCTTGTCCGGTCAGTCCATATCGTCGTCGTCGTCGACGGTCCGGACCAGACCAGACTAAGGATCGCATATTAGTTCGCAGCGTCTGGCTGGTCCAGTCTAGTCCGGACTACTTGTATATAATATGTTGCCTACGGTCTCGGAGTAGGCAACATATTACTCGTATGAAAACTGTTGTCTTACTTCCTCGCCAATGAAAACGGTGCGTATGGTTTTGTAGTTTCTTCGATCGCCGAGTAACGGAGAGAGTGTTTCAACGCTTCCAAAGTGCCTCAACTGATGACCCTCGAGTGAGAGAAGCCGCAGAGGAGTTTTTTCTACTACTTGTTTCTTCACAGTGCGGTGCAATATCGTGCACGGGGGCATCCGTGATTACAAGCGCTGAACCGAGTAGCGGCGTACCTATGGAAATCATCGCCATAATTTCATGTAAACTTGTGCGTTCTCGGTAAGTAGAAACTCGATGGTGTTCGATGCCTTGCACTGTGTTATTGTGAGTAGCCTGCCTACCTTGGGTGGAGAGGCCGCTGATCCCAGAGTTGTCAATGTTGAACAACTTTGCTGGTCTTTGCCTGAAGCAGTTGATTGTTGTTCCGAATTCGGAGCGTTGTAAGAACATGTGTCGCTCGTGGGATTCGAACCCGAGACCTCATTTTCTTAGGGCATCGGCAAACGGTACATCCATAAGCGCTTCAGTCATGCAAGGCACTGAGCTTTGTCGCGAGGTGGAGTTTTACGACAGTCGGGCGGCTGAGGCGTTCCGCAACGCTATAATGGTTCTGGAACGCTCTAGAGAGGGCAGAAGCTCCGTGAATACTAGTCTAGGGGAAATCACCGCACCAGGTGAGCTCATCATAATCTTGTGATAATCATAATCATTGTTATTACATTTTCAGGGAGTCCATCTGCGGCTCAGCCTCCCCCCACTGTTCCACACGAACCTCTGATTACGCCGCGCACGGAACCAGGCGGTGCCGGCCTGCTAGCTGCGGCCCCGCTGCCATTGCAACCGCAAGTGACGACTCCTCAGCCGACGCCGTGGGGTAAGTCGAGAAAAAATGCTGTTGCCCGGGATTGAACCTGCGTCCATCAGGTGGCCGGTCGGCGACTACTTCCCCGGCGCCAAGATATCTGACGAGTCAGGTTGCGAGGTCTTTGGCCCGGTTTTATCGTGCTGTCGGTGTGAGCGACTACAAAGTATCTGGTGAGACTATCCATATGATACCAATAACATTATCGCATTCTACCAGGTGCCCTACCATCTTCGTCGTCATCGTCGTCATCATCTGCTGCTGCTGCTGCTGCAAGTCCAATGCAATCTCTAGTTGCCCCGTCGCCTCAGACTACAGCAGCATATACGACGGCACTTATTCCGGGTGTGGAAGAATCTTTGCAGATCCCGGAGATCGAGAGCGGGTTTGTGGTGAGTTTAGCGCAAGGAGTGGTATGAAAAAGTATTATCGTTTTCTCTCTCAGAACCGTACCACTGTGATGGTGAGGAACATCCCGCCCGCGTACACTAGTTCAAGACTTTTACAGGAAATCCTTGAAACCATGTATGTTGGTTTATGCTTGCCTATTTACTATCTATCTCCTCAGGTTGGAACTGGCAGGCGAGGAAGAGCTAGCGACTGTTAACGCCGCTGTTGGAGCCCCGTTTGGTATCGATTTCGTATACTTGCCATTCAACCTCAAGAACAGAGCAGGAGTAAGGTTTTCCCGTTTTACTCTGTTGTTAGTATTCCTAATCATAGGTGAGCTATGGCTTCGTTAACCTTACTACTCCTGAGGCGCTGTTGACTTTCTATGATCGCTTCGACCAACACGAATGGAGATCAGGAACTAGCAGAACTCACAATGGGGGCGAGCGGAAGCCCTGCGAGATGTCAGCCGCTCGTTTGCAGGGTCAACACGCGCTGGTGAGAAGACCATATTTTAATTGAGGTTTTTGCTATCATCGTTATCAGATTGAGGCATTCGTGAATCGTCTTCACGCCAAGTCGGAGCATATCCCGTTACAAGCACGGCCTCTGATTTACGATCCTCGAGTGGTTGTGTCCACTGTCTCCTCCCCTGCTACTACGGAGGCGCCGTTGTCTACTATACCGCGATCGTTCCACCACCGACAACAACATCAACAACAGCGGCGTCCCTCGAGTGGATACTCTGGTGGAGTACCGCCAATGTCTTCACCATCTGGAGCTTCATCACCATCGCGGTCAACAACGTCACAACATCTTTCCCAGTCTTTGCTGCGGTATGGTTCTGGCGGGCGAGCC